GTTCATGGGTTTAGGGGTTTAGGGGCCTACATACTCACAAATACATACCAATGCTCTTTTTTTTGGGGGGGGTCCTTTGAAGAAATATTGTGGCAGAACAGACACCGAAACCCCATTTCTAAGTATCAAGGCCCCCATATTCAGCCCTCAACCCCAAATTTTGAGAATCCTAAACCCTCAACCCTACATGTTCCCCGACTGACGGTTCGGGTGTGAGGAGTGAGCACGGGCTCTTAGCAGCTGCTCCGCAGGAGAATGCCACGTACGATGGCCAGGATCTCAACACCAGCAACCTGCACATGATCGCACGGGCCTGGGCCTCAGAGGGTCTGAAGAGAACACAAGATACCTCCTTAGGGCTCCTGATTCTTCTAGGTCTGGGTCTACTGTAACATACCCCAAAGCCCCATTCTAATTATGCACCCTAGATTAATCTGATAACGGGATCTTGGGTCCTTTGGTGATTCCCCAACCTCCCACGGCCACAAAGCCGCTGAGCCATGAATGATACCTTCAGAACTTCGGCCATCCATCCTGCTGACTGCCATTCTTTCCTCATGGTCTCGTTGGCATGGCCGTCGTGGTGTTCGGGATCCATACTGGCAAGAGAGCCCTAAACCCTGATTGTGACATCCACTTTTTTTTTATGGTTGGAGTATGCTTCTAGGTTTATCCGTACTACAACTCGCAAGGATCGGCGTATCTCCTTCAACGATACCCACAAGGTGGGCTGAAGAGCCTGGTGTTCAGAAGGTTTTGGGCATTGGCATTGAGGAGGATTGGGACAATGTAAAGGTGTGTGGAAGCCGAGCTCCATGGGATAGCGAACATCGTGAGATGGGGTGTTGGGCTTTCGACCTCGGCAAGAAGGATGTACACCTCTTTGTTTGGGTGTCCGAGCAATGGAGAGGTTGGCCACAAATCAGGAGGAGGTAAGCGAGGGTGACACGAGCAGGAGAGTCAGCGCAGTGCCTCATGCTGCCAGTAGCGCACCTAGCCCCCCTAATCACAGCGAAACCCCCAAACCTAAAACCCAACACTCAGAAGAAGAGCCTTGGCCCAAAACTTATGTGCAGGTGTACAACCGCCTTGAGGCCATGAAAGTCGCGAAGGCTCGCGAACTGTATCCGTGGCTGTAGAAGTGGGGCGGGGGGGGGGGGGGGGNNGGGGGGGGGGGGGTCGGGGTTTCGGCATTGGGTCTCTAGAAGTTCTCGGTTGGGAGCTACAGGCTTCAAGAGGAGCCTTGGGTTCGTATACATGGTTACTTGCTTCAGGTTCGAAAGACTTCCTTCTGGGTATTGTCAGGTGTGTCAGGAAGTCCGCCCGTCCACGCAGAGCTCTGACTTGGACATGATGATCAATTGCACACGATGTTTTTTTGCAGAAGCGCAGTGTTATGGGGTTTGCAGCGTTATGGGGTTTCGGGGTTTAAATCTGAAGCCTTCGTAGACTTGGAGCCTTGTGCTCCGGGGCATGTGCACATCTGGCTAATCCGATGTTAAGCGTACAGCAAAACCTGCAACAGCACTTCCAATGAAACACGAGGTTCGGTTCTGGGTCTCGGCTCAATGAGACCCGGAAAAAAGGTTTCAATAAACCATACGTCTAGGGCTCTAGGGTTTAGGGTAAGGAAGTAGGGGCTCTCTTGCAAAGCAGATCTCCTCCTTGCCGTGAGGAGCAGGCACTGGTTCGTGAAAAGGCTGCGGGCTACGTCAAGGCCCACTTCCAACATAGGGTTGTGGTTTAGTGTTTACGGGTTCATGAGCAGGTTTGAGGGCTTAGGGTTCCAGAGGGAGGGGCGTTTTTAGGTTAAGGGTTGTTTCAGCTGCAATGGATGGTTTACGAAATCACTATGTTGTGCGCGTGCCTGCCTATGATCACTTTTGTCAATCAGCCATGCCTACCTCATCTGTATGTCTCTCTGCCTACTGCCCAAACGCTGCACAACTGCGATGCTCGCTGGAGGCTGGTGACAGTTTAGACTGCAGCCCGACCCAGACAAGACGCCGACATCCTGAAAAGCTCAGGGCAAAGTCGACGCCATACGTGACCCTAAACCCTAGACTCCCTAGACCCCTAGACCCCTACACCCTAAACCCTATAAACCCTATAAGCCCTAAACCCTAAACCCCTAAACCGCCCTAAACCCTACACCCCAAACCCCCAAACCCCTGAACACGATTTCACTCAGCCCCAGACACCTAGACCCGCATCCCCCTCGTGCCTAAGCGCTGGGCGGCAACCCCGAAGCCCCAGGCCCCAAGTAGTGCGCCGCTTAAAATCCCAGGCCTAGATTCCTGAGTGGTTCCCTTTAATTAGGGTCCCTTTTTCGGTTTAGGGTTTAGGGTTAAAAAAGGTTTGGGTTTAGGTTGTATGGTTCCCTTGTTAAGACTGAGTAACAGGAAAAGGGGTACCCCTATCATGAGACGGCAGAGGCGATCCGCTCGAAGTCTGCTTCCCAGTCCCGACTGGAGTCTGCCCCTCACCCTTGAACCCTTACGCCCTTCAAAAACTCAAACAACCCGGATCCAACAGCCTAAACCCTATTCCCTTAAACCCTAAACCCCTAAGTCTTAAAGTCAAAGTCCCTTGAGCCACAGAATCCCCCAGGCCCTAGGGGCTAGCCCCCTTCAAGGAGCCCTTAAAGCAGCCCTTAAAACCCGAAGCTCCCATGCCCAAGGCCTATAACCCTAACCCCGGCTTTCGGGTTTAGGGTTTAGGGTTTAGGGTTTAGGGCCTATGGTTTAGGGTTTAGGGTTTAGGGTTTAGGGTTTAGGGATCTAGGGTTTAGGGTTTACTGAAGCCCAACTCACGAAGGATGGCCGTGACGTGCCGGCGGATGAGTTGATGACGAAGTACAAGAAGTGCCTCGTACCGGGGGAGATTGAATATAGGGGCACTACTTAGACGGCTTCGGCGCACATTATAACAGTATGTTATGTAGGGCTTGGGGTTCACGGCTTGTGGGTTAAAGCCTAGCTTTGTTTTAAACTTAGGTTTTAGGATTCTGGTCTTCGGGCTTGCGGTTGACACAGTTTGACCCCTGGTGATTTGGAAGTGCCCCCACGTCCGAGCCTGATCCGAACCTTGCATATCCCGATAAAGAGACATGCAGAATCGACATGTTTGGAGCTTGGATGTCTTCGGGTCTGAATGTCTGTAGCAATGAGGGTGGACTTCTCGGCGGCTGAATGTAGCTCCGGGGTAGCTTGCGGCTACGTGTTAGGGTGCTGTTGTGGCCTAGGGCTTCATGCGTGGGCATGATCTGCAGCGCCTAAACTCACATTCCTAAACCCTAAAACCCTGAACCCTTCACCCCAAAAGGCCCTCAACCTACACTCTGAAGCCCAAACCCCGAAGAACTGAGTGAACTGAGGACCATCCAGGTGAAGCTAGGCAGACGCCTCAGAGTGGGGACTTACCGGGCTGTTGGGCTTCCAGGTGTAGGATTTATGGTAGGGTTCAACGTTTAAGGCGCAGGGTTGGAGATTTAGTCAGTTTAGGGCTTTGGGTTCAAACGGCTTCTGGGTTTGGGCTGGGATGAGCTTGATGTCAACTGTTCTTGGGTTTCAGGGTGGTTGCGAAATGGTTAGCAGTGCAGTGCAGGTTGGCTGGAGGATGCTTCGGTTGGCTCCGAACAGAATTGGAGAGGGATTGCCTTGTCAGCTGACGGGACTCGGGCGATTGCCATGCGCACACCGGCCTGTGGGTGGGGACCGCAACGACTACCACTGCCACGACCATCCTAGAACTGCGCTTTAACCTAAATACCAGCACTTGAGTCCCGACAGCTGCAGCACTCAGGCACAAACCCGTGACCGTTAAGTTTATGAGCTTGAATAGAGCCTCCATAAGGTTTCCATCGGTTTAGGATTCACAAGTGTTATGTAATTAGTGATGGCAGAACTGAACATACCGCGCGGCCTTTCGCCCC